CCAGGGGCGGAGCAGAACTGAGCCAAAAGCCTAGCACAAGGGCCAGCCCTGTCATACTAAAACCTGCCTGGATCGTGGCAACCAATGTGACAATCATCGGTAGGAGACTGACTATCGCTGCACGCAGCGCGCTGCCAGCAGGATCATGTGGGTTACAAGTGCTCAAGTAACGTTCGATGTTGTGCCGTCGCGTTCACACCGCAAGCCGAGACATTGTCCTCAGCCGCCTGAAACCTGCACTGAACAACACTGCGGGTGAAGGCCTCGTGCAAAGCAGGACTCGGTCGTCACAAAGCCTCGACACCCGAGGCCCAAGACTGCGGTGAAAATGACGGAGCTACTGATGGTGCCTGGCAAGAAGAGGTTGTTTGTTCGAAGCAGGAGTTGCGAATGCAGTCTGTGCCAGTGCTGGCTATTGAAAGCTTCTGGGCAACCCCCGCAAAGTAAGCAACACCCCCTCACCCAAGTCCCTGACCGGGTGTGGTTTCCCGTCGCCAGTTGCGACGATGACACATCTCGCTAACAAAAGGCAGCTTTGGGACTTTGCTGCTTCGATCCGGAAAACAGCTGAATTGCCTGTCGCACAGTAAGACTCTTCCTCGTCCTTGCCTGTCTGGGTTGTATGAGATTTTGAGTTTTTAGATTCCACCTCTGCTACCTCTATTCCTTGAAGTGCCCCGGTCATCCCTGGACCTCGGCGGGGAACAGCATCAAGATTTCTCTTGTCGGGCAAGTTTCAGCACGTCTGAACCAGGTAGAGCTCCTCGTTGCTTGTTCTGATGTTGACAATCCAAAAATGCATGCACAAAGGATCGGTAATTGTTACGTACGTGCTGTCAGCGCAGCTCTTGCAAGCACGATGCTCGCACGATGAGCTGGGAAAGGATTCTTCTGCTCTCCCGGCGGCGCCAGCTTTTTCGTGGTGCCAACTCTTAGTTCTGCTGCTTGCGACGCTTTGCTACCTCTGCAGGTGCTTCATGGATTTGGAGTCGAGAAGTACAGTACCAGAAGGGTCAGAAAATAGCCTCTGGGGGTTAAAGAACAGCCGCTTGGCAAGGTCTGCAGGGGATGGATTAAATGCTGGGGGGGAGGGGGTGGAAAATAACAAAATTGGGGTGGGGAAAAAGACAGGCCCTTCCACTCTCACACTCGACAAAGCATCCTGGCATGATGCAGCTTCCTGATGTGCAAGGTCGTCGACATGATGAACCAGCCGTGTCCGAGCTTGTGCCTCGCAGCTGCTGTTGCCTGCCATAACTAACATCTGCAACCGAATGGCAATCGGGCAGCCTGCGCAGCATGCCGTGCGCTGCTCCTGCAGCAACGTCATGCTCGATCAGTTCTGCGGAATGAGACCTTGTGTGCCGTGGAATGTGCAGCTCCTGGTTCAATTCATGCATCGGACCACAGAAGCAGTCCGTGACACGTGTGTTGACAATCCAATCCGTCCCGCTCTCGCAAGGCTGCGTACGATGCGCAAGCTTCCGAAGACCAGCTTGGAACCTTTCAAAGCATCCATGGGCGGCCAACTGCTTCAATTGCAGACTTGGCTCGGCTGTTGCAGGCGATGCAGGCCGGCGCCCGGCAGCGCACACATTTTCTCGCGTTCGGATTGCTGGAAAGCCCAGGCCCTCTGCAGGCGCTTCCCTTTTGGGAGTCACAGAAAGGAATGGGGATCCAGGAGGCAATATGAAATATTGCGAAATGATACACCGCATCGCAAAAGAACCTTCGTTGACAAAAATGTGAGAAGACTGACATGACAGAAGCCTGAAGATGGAAAATCCTAGGGCCAGGCCTCT